ACTACCCAACGCACAACCACCAACCCACCGCTACGCACTACTACGCTCCACAATAACGCACTGATGATGTCACCTCGATTGGTGATGAAACGTTTGCAATCAAATTGCCCAGCTCAGCGAACAAGCCAACGACCACCATCTACGCTACCTGAGCTACCAACATTTTCCTCCATAGAAAATCATCCGTATTTAAAATAAGGCGTGGAGACGGGCGATTGCTCATCCATCTAGGGGGAATCTTTAGCCATTTTCATTAGTTTACCATCTCGTAGATCACTTGATTCTCTTATCGTATCTAGACTCTTCTGCAAGATGCATTTTTGACCAGCTGTTTAGATTCCCAGACTAAACAACTCAACTAGAACAACTCAAAGCTGTTCTAGTCTGGTCAGTCGCACGACTTATGGGAAATTCTTTCGTAAGACTGACTGACAGCCTAGCCATACAGTTTGCTTACCATAGATTGCGACTAACTGAGCACTCCTCACTTGTTCATTCCTACTGAAGAAAAAAATCAAATTCCATTAAGCCTCTTCCAGGGGTACTTCCCATTATCTCGCACCTCAATCATTCAAATCATAAATTCTATCCTGAAGACTGTGAGCAACATTCAGACCTGGCAAGAGGACAACTTTCACAGACCTATAACTTTGTGTCTTTGGATACCCACTATTTTGAAATCTAAACATCAAATGCGTTCACTCGCGCACAGGAAGTTGTTGAGGGCGTCCAAGTTAGAATTGATTTATCTATGTAATGGTCGCGGGTGAGTCGCGCCTCAAGTTTTTGTTGTATTGTACTGAGAATCCGTCATGGTACAAAACTGTCCTCAAGTCTAAATGGGGAACCAGTGCAGCCAAATTCAGTTCACCCTAGTCTTCGTGCGCTCGACCCATGTAAGCCGAGTCACTTACAGGCTATGTTCGGTCAACCAGTGGAACCAGGTCAAGGGAATCCTTCATGAAGTGAAATCTACAGGATGAACTGGTATAAGTTTTAACTATGCCCGAACCATAATTTCATCCAAGTATCGTTGATGCACTGGTACCACGGAGCAAGCGTGAATGTTGACCCGGTTCGTTCGAGCAGTGTCGAGCGGTCGACCATTACACATGTCACAGTTTACTCCCCTGATTTTCAATGTTTTTACATGAGGCGACTAATTCATGCTTGCAGACCAACATGAGTAACATACTCTTTCGAAGATACATAATAAATGTAACTATCCAACACATGCGATCATAGTAGCATAGTAGCATAGCTCTCGTGTTCGATGACCATGGAAGGAACAGTTCTTTTTCATTACCATAAACGACATTTTTGCGATCTTTTCAGCTTATTTAGATGGGAGGGCTTCTGGATAAAGCGACCTCCCTATTGACAGCACACCAACGGGACCAGCAGAAACCATCCCTTCGTGTTGGAAATCTCATCCAGAAAATGAACATGAATAGGTCCGGGACCTACCAACGTATTCAAAGTTGACAACCTCATCCATGTATCAAACCTGATCTTCAAGAACCCTGTGCTGTTGCTTCTCTAGATATTTATTTGGTTCAAACCAGTTCATTGTGGGTATTTGAACATATTGAACGCTAGTGATTCCAACCGCGATTGTAAAGTTTGAGTCAGTTTAGTCCAATCTAAATTGTTGTCGGTTGTTTCAGAGCTGAGTTTTTCCGCAAGCTAGACTGGAGAAGTGATATGAAAGTCAAACACACAACACCTCATGTATCTCCTCGTCACTGTTATTGTCCCCATACGCAAATGGATACCGTTATTTGTTGTTGCAAATTTTCACTGATCCTCGGGGCTCATGACTTGTCATGCAGTTTGCCTGACTTGAGCGAATGAACAAAGATTGACAGTATGGAACAAGGTTGAAGCCACAGTAGTCCAGTCGGTGCCGAGAATCGGATGAAGTCCAGTTGAAGCTTTATGACTCTATAGGGGTTTTCTAGGAGCAGGTAATGTTGCCAAGCCCTAAATACAACTCACTATCGACCGACGCTTGATTGACTCAATCAGGTAAAACCATGCCAGACACGAATGTTTTCATGAGTCAGTGTTCGTTGCCATGTGAAAATCACTGCAGACTCGTAATTTCCTATCCGGTCAGTCGTAATTAAACAGTATGAGTAACCACAAGATGCCACAGCGAGCACTACGTCCATAAGTTGATTGGATGCCTTTTTCAGGATTTTTACCAGGAGTCAGTATCAAGGACAGGATTGGAGGAATTCAACCCCCCTGCATCAGAAATTCTCTCAAAACCAGTTCCATTCAAGAGGATCACTGTACTAGTGGTGGATGCCAACAAACCCTCCCTAAGGTGAACATTCTTCACTATAAGCCTCCTAGCCATTCCCCATCAGCGTACTTTGTTGAGGAGCCAGCCTCGTTATTAAGGTAACTAGTTCACTCCGATGTACGACGGAGCATCATTCTTAACGTTTACGAAAACTGGGCACATCCGATGGAATGTGAAAACACCATCAGCAGTCTAGTGTTCCGTCATGATTGTCTAAAGGTGTGCAAATCTACTTCTTCATGTCAGCGTTCTTTTGATGCGGTCATATGATCAATTCAGTCCATTCTTCCTACTTTCTTCCATGCACACATACCTATAAAGAACATCAAGTTTTGCGGTTGAGTAGGGGAGAAATTCATACATTGCTAGGAATAACCCAATCGGCCTTCGTTGGCTTTACATGGAAATTCCCAAGTAATTTTTTTACCGTGAAAGGCTTTTACCTTAAAACTGTCTTCCTAACCTGACGACAAGTATGGGGAAACTAGACGCATAGAAATGCACTGGACATACCCCCTCCCAGTGTACATACTCCCGGTATGTTCACTGCTTCTAACGTAGTGTAATTTCGGTTGTTTATAGTATCCTTAGATAGTAGCCAACACACCCCTGCTATCAGTTACAGCAAATTCGCCGTACAATTGTAATATCGGTCTTCACAAATTCATCAGATTTTGAAGTTACCCGAATTCGACCATCACATTCTTATGCTAGTAAGAATGACGACTGACCGAAATGGAACAAACATCCATTTTCAGGACCCTATCAATCAAGACTCAGTCATGAGGAAAAGGTGACAAACTTGCCTGCAGAAGGCATTTTAAGAAAAACCCTGGTGAACTCCAGATACGGTGGTTAAAATTAAGCATTGATGTGTGCTACTGTCCACGAAAGGGACATTTCCTAACGAATACATAGATAAACCTGGTTCTTAATTCCGCTCTTTCTTTTAGGTCTATCCCACAGCACGCATGCTTTCCTTTCCACATACTGACCATCACAACATCGAATCCGGTGTAAGTGAGAATTCAGCCATCACCATGGAAGTACCAGGCCTACTTGTCATCACCGACATGCCATGTTCACATGAGAATTTACGTTCCCCGGATAAATGCTAGGTTTTCGCTGTTTACGGTTATACGATGAATATCAATTAAAACTCGATCACTACCACAAGCGGGTCGGGTGAGATTTCGTAACCCTATACTTCTTTCTGACAGGAGAGTTACTTTCGCCTCTTAAATTGAGAAAATTATGTACCCAACTTAGCGAGAAGGAATCCGCTCTGGCCACTGACATAAAAATGTGGGTATCATTGCGTAAAGTTCATCACGGATCGTCCAAAGCAGTTGGTGTGAGCTCGTGGTCGCTAGAGTGACGTAGCGTGGACAGGGTACGTGACTGCTCCTGACATAAAAACCATCAGTAGTATTCCTCAGACCAACAGGCACGCGGAACATCTTCAGCTCAATCCAACTGGTATCAGTCACTTCGCCAAGCTCGCTGCAGCCTAACGTCCGCACGTGCGCTAATATCCGAACTTTCGCCAGTTCTACCTACCTACCTAAGTACCCAGGATTAGGCGAACTTTAGCTCAACTGCGCTGTGGTTACCATGGCTCAACCGTCCACGCACTCGCAATCCATATGTACTTTTGAGCCAATTTTCAGGGTCACATGAACGCATCAACACCCACAGGCACGTGATTCGAATGTCTCGCCCCGTCGCCGCCCGCGCAGGACCATCAAGTGGCATATTCTTGGCAGTTATTGCCCTTAGACGGTTTGTCTCAGGCACACGAAGATTGAAATCCTGTTGGGAAAAACGACGCACTTAAATCAGATACCGGTACCATATAATAATAAGAGGATGATCTGGTACCGTTTAGGAGTCTCAATACATGAAGATTTCACTTGCTTCTAAACGAAAGCGCCAAAAAACTATTCCCAGTTCAAAGTTTTCTTCCTAGGACAGAAATCTGAAAGTATAACCATTTCAGTCGCTAAACAGATACAGCTTCGTCATGTTGGTAACTTCGCCCTTAGTGGGCACAAGCGATTCAAAGCAAGCGAATGAACTTGGTCTAAGCTAATGTACTTGGGTGGCTAAAAACAGTGAAAGGCAAAGAAGCCGGATGAACGGAAATCCATCATCAATCTAATGATGGCGATGTCCGGATGTCAGATGGACTACTAACGCCAAGAATGCGGATAGACCCCACGCCAGGTTGTCTAGTGGAAAGCTACTCCATAGCGTGAGACAAACAAGCGTTTTCCGAACGTGACGCCTACTTGATGGGGCCAACGCACTCCTGCAAAAGGCATAATCCGAAAACCACTGATGATGCATTAGTCTGACTTTTTTATTCGGCCCAACGGTGATATCGTGCAGCTGCCGAAATCCATAGTGCGGTAGGACACAATGAGAATATTTGTAAAACGGTGTATGTAAAAGGCACACTGTAACAAGATTTGAAGAGATGCTCAAGAAATATGACCATATAGCTCTTACAATAGAACGGTCTCAAACGAATGATTAACAGTAGAATCTGATGTGTACAGTACCGATTCGTCGTAAGTTGTGTGAGTCTGGGCACAATGAGGGCTGAGTGAGTCAGAATATACTTCTCCCGACACAGTGTTCAACACTTTGGTCTCTCCAAACTCGTGCAAAAGTGGCATATCATTCATATTCATTTGAAGAGGTGGAACTTCAGATGAATTCGACATCAACTCAGCAGACGAGTCATTTGTTGCTTTTCTTTGTAATCGCTTCTGATGACGTCGTTGGTGGGCAAGACGGTGGTCCGTTCGATAAAACGACTTTGGGCAAACTGAGCACCGAAATGGTGGTTCCATATTGTGCTTCCTCCGATGCCGTGTAAGCTCATCCGACCTACCAAAACGCTGCCCGCAAATTATGCCCAGGATTTCATCAATTCGTTGCTTTCCCCCCATTTTAGAGCTGAAGGGAAAGGTGCAGATGTACGGTCGTTCACCTGAAATCCGAAAAGAGGACACTTGTGAAGGATACAATTAGGCTAAATGGTTTTGCCAAGTACACTGGGGGAACTCCTCTTCCTGGAAAGGATCCGTTAGTTGCTGTTTACTTATAAAGGTGCTACGCCGGTTTGAACAATGTCCAATCATGGTGAATACTTGTCTACTGTGATAGGTCGTCCTTTCTTCGGAAAGACCTCACCGTACGAAAAGATACGAATGACCCCATAATCCCCGATCATATTAGACTAAGGCATTGAATACGGTAGTAACCCTTTATAAAACAGTATTGTCTTCCACATACCATAATAACAGACTCATCTGGAAATTAGCCAGACTGACTTTGGACAGAGCACGTGTGTCCGCTGGTGCACAGAGGAAATGAGTTTTCTTCATTCTGAATTTCTGCTAGGGTAGTGCAGCTCTTATTGTCCATGCTAGCTAATAAATTCGGTGATTCTGATGCCTCTTCGATTCCGCCTCACTAGACTCTTTCTTAGTAATGTTATCGTTGGACGTTAACATGATACCCTACTTCAGGTAGGTATTATCCTTGTGAACGAAAAATGGAAACCATATTTAGGGATCTAAAACTATCTTGAGGATTGAAATGTGTGTCCTCAAACAGACCTAGCAAACGAGTTTTCCACACCGCATGACGGGGCCCTGTCTCACGACTTCGATGTCTTTACCTATGGGTGATGTCAAAAAAATTACTGCGATCTAGACCAAACCCGACATCCATCTTAGTTATTGCCATGTCCTTACAATCATGCACTTCTGTGACAATCTCTAACTCTGTTGAATGAAACAGTGGGCTTTGGAAGAACGGCTCACGTGGGTTCACTGCTTATCACCACCTGTGTAAAATTCCACGACGCTTTGGGGACTTTTTGTGACGATCAGACGACAACCGTTAGCACAAGTTTCATTCACTTAGTTGTGCATTAGACACACAATATAGTGAAAACCGATGAAAACCATTGTTTTTAACATGTTACATATATGACTTACCTGTATGTTTTCGAAAGTGCGCCTTTAAGTGGCTTGGCTTTGTATAGCTCTTTGCACAACCTTGAGAAGAAAGAAAAGAGGACAAATTGGTCTGGTACATGAGGTATTCGTGAGGTATCAGTGCGAGGCTGTGAGTCTGTGTGTGAGGGTCAACAAGCGAAATCTAGCCTGAATTCTCAATAAGAGCAAAGAAACCCAGCTCAATTCAGACAACTCATTATCCCCAGTCCAGATAAAAAGGACCTATTATTGTGTCCAGCAGGTATCGAAAACAGGGAAAAAATTTTACCTGTTGAACGACGTACGTACCCAAAGTTGACCGCATGCCAAAACATTCTTTATTCGCGGAGGTAACATTCATTTTAGGATAAGTTACAAAGTATATTCTCACAGTATCGTCATGCGGTGGACTGTTCAATTGCCTTTATCCAAGAAGGGTAATTCATAGGTAACGTTCCTAGGAAAAGCAAGGCCTTTCTTGAGGGGTTTAGCAAGCAATGAACCCAAGTCCTGGTTACCACCGCAATTTGGAAAAGAAGGAATCATCACAATGATGCATTGATCGTCTTCCTGTTATTTAACGACATCATTGCAGGCGGTGTGCACCAAACTTCGCATCTTGGCGACACTGGGCAAGATAGCCAGCTAAACATCCATGAGGCACATCTGAATACATACTGGAGGGTTCGATGCTGGTCCAATCTATGGAAGATTCAAGCGGCTGTCTCAAGAATGCTTATAATTCTCGTATAAATCCCGGTAAACCGATTCAGGGACGCTGTATCCTTCATTGCATGATATGTGATCGCAAGGATACTAGATCCCCTTGGCATCACATACCGGGCATTCGCGTGTAGTCCCGTCATCGTTTCACCTAAAACAACTATGCACGCAGGTGGTTGTAACACCACGAATCGTCTCTTATCATATAGCTGATTTTAGCACTTCGGAAAATGGGAAATGTAAAATGTGGCGTGAGCTACACGTCATCACACATGACTACCGTTTGGACATTAGCGTGGCCATCCTCGCAAAGCAGAAAGCCACCAATACGTAGAAATAGTCCATGTGCATAGCTTACACTTTCTGGACTCGCGTAACAATTCCTCTTACAGAGAAATAAATCAACACGATGAGGTGGCAGAATGTGCCTCACTTCTGCGTCTGATAGCTATCTCTAGGTCTCATGGGAGTTTAAGTGAGTCACCCGTTGGAACAATGAATGTCCTTTGGTGCAAGGTGTTCTCGATTGAGAAGTTTGTCTGATAGTGTCACCCTATTTACAAGGCCTATAACACAGTTCCCACACATCCATGGTAGAAAGTTCTTCATTTGGCGGCGAGACCTTTGAAAAAGTCCTCGCATAATACATTGCTGTATTTCGATTGCCATAAGCCTCCAGCCGCAGCTGTGCCTCATCAGCACGAGGTATGAAGCCGACGAATAGCTTTTGCTCTACCGATGTTTCGTGTGTGCTGCGTGTCATGCACGGAATGCGTGTAAACTTCTTTACTGTGCCTCTTTTAGAAGCTGAAACTGAGTAGAATTTGCCAACGCGTCGAAAGGTGTTTATCGCGATACACCGATCCATTTGGCCTGTAATGTATCGGTTAACGTGGCCATTGTCTTGTTGCATGCCAACCCAACTCTAGGGCTTTGAAGGCAGTGGCACCCACTCAACTGCATATTGGCAGTCAAGTGAGCAGATTGAGCTGGAGTGGTCTTCACACTATAGAACTGAATAACGTTTTTCAGGCACAGGAGAGGCCTGACTAGCATTGTTGCCACGGCGATCAGGCCCGTAGTTAGGATGGGAGCATGGCGCTGAAGGAGAGGCCTTAAATCGCCGGGCCCAAAGGCACAAGCCCGAACGCAATAGCGAGGCACAGGAGCTGACTAGCATTGTTGCCACGGCGATCAGGCCCGTAGTTAGGATGGGAGCATGGCGCTGAAGGAGAGGCCTTAAATCGCCCGCCCCAAAGGCACAAGCCCGAACGCAATAGCGACCGATTGATATCACCGACGCTACCCCAGATAGCTATGAGGCAGTGATTGCAGGACTAGGGCATAATAGCGTTTGTTGCGGTTATACCCATCGTTGTAGCGTGGCTGAAATTCGTAAGTATGAGAAGAACCTGTCAATCCATTCTCCTGCGCGCTGGACAGAAGGTTGCATACGCAACGCGTTGACACACCTGACTGGTTGTCATCACTCTTAAAAAAACACGTGTTAGCCGGTGAACCGAGAAGCAAGCTGTGTTGCCGGGTTATTTGTTGAAGTGGTAAATTCAAGAAATCACTACGTGAAGCAACCTATCGTGCACGAAGTGGGTACATGTCCATCTACAAGTTTAGCGGACGCAAATCGAATCAATAAACGCATTGATTCAGAGGCATTCCACGACAAACCTGCACAACAAGCAATCTTTCTGCCATCATTCCACTCCTAATGGATTGAGATGAGTCACTTTGATTCAAAAAGTGGCAAGTTCAAGAGAAATCAAACATATGTAATATCATCTCCGTCAACTGATGCAAATACTCGAAAGGTGGAAATGACTGCAACAAGATCATGACATCACAAAATCCCGGTGTCTCGTCGATGACTAGATCTGATCAGTTCGTCTAGAAACTTTTGTGGATCACTTCGCTACACTTTTGTCGAGTGCGTGGATAGCAGTTTGACCGACGCTTCCCCATTCCAGTTACGAAGTGTTCACAAGCTCCGTTTTGGTTGCATCGAGCTTCAGCATCCCGAAGTGTACCGTACGCAGTTCAAATCGGACTGGAAATAGGCCACCATGGGTCCGACTTGACGAAACGAGACCTTTGAACATCAATAAAGCCATAAGTCCAAGTCCATCCTACGTTACAAGATAAGATGCAGTGAACATGAGTTCATGTGAACGCATGCCATTCTTCATTTCTTTCGGGTTAGAAACGTTGAACGTATTTCGTGGACCAGCTAATAATAAATACATTTCTCTTGAATTTTTCTGAGTCTATGTTGGGACAGAAAATACTCTCAACTTCGGAAATGTTCAAACTAGCGATCGCAAGACGCTAAAATTCCTCAGACTTCTAAATTCAGACGCTGGAATGACTGAAATTGGCACTCATTCCTTCACGCTGACAAAAAAGGGTGACATCTCTAATGCGACACTCAGCTACATTGTCAAGCACTGCGTCCTACCTCGTTTCATGAAGATTTTGGACTAACCAATTACCACTGATTTCTCACCTGATTTGAACTGTGTAAGGTACACTTACACAGCGAGTGGTTAAGAATACTGAAGCTCAGTGCAAGCAAATGGAGCCTGTGAGCCGAGTGTGTGTGTGTGGGGGGAGTGAAGAGTGTTGTCTCGGTGTTCCTGAAGTCGAAAAGATGTAGGAGAACGGTGCATATTTGCAAGGCTACGTCAAAGAATAAACGATTTCCAGTGTGTGTTTAAGTCAACACAGATACAAGTACATTTTAATCGAACTAACCGGTCCCAAATACAGCAAATTACGAATCTCATTGGCCAACACGGTGCCAAAAAGGGACAAAGTGAACTGCGATGAGTCAGGTGGGAGGATGGCGCCCACCTACAAGAAGTTATGTGCCTTTCTGAGCATTTCGTTGTCACGACCTTTGTTCTGGATGAGAGCAGCCAGATTACCGGTCTGTTGTTTCGTCAACTCTCAGATGGAGTGAACACCATAAAGGCAATTCAATTCCAGTTCAGGTTATCCTTGCGAACACAGGGTGTAGAACTTCCACGAAATGAATAAATCCATTACCGAGAGCAGCACCAGATTGCAGATCAAACACTTTCCACACTGGAGTTACCCTGGAAGCCCTTCTCTATGGGCATGGTTTCATGAAGTCCCATGATGAGGCCTGCACAGTAATCCCATGCTTGAGCAAACGAATGTCTATAAAGCCCTAACATTTTACCCCT